GCTTTAAAACAAATATTTTTTTATTAAATTTAATTATGTATAGATAAAGTTATAAGTATTTTTAAATTTGGAATAAAAAAAAATAACTTAAATTATTTTAAATAAAAAAGGTTACTAGAAAATTTTTAAATAATATTTTTGTCAACTTCAAAAATAACTACCCATATATAAATTTCTTGTTCTTATTTTTTTATTTTAATATTTTAAGATATCATATTGATTAAAATAATTAGTTGTTGATTTTAAGTAAAAATAAAAAGTATTGATTTTAAATGATGAAATTAAGAATTTAAAAAACAAATAGTATCTTTAAGATAGAGGAATGTTAATAACTATTGAAATGACATTGAAAAAAGGGATTCCTTTCTTTCGAATAATTGCGCATCATATCTTCAAAGTCCATTTGATTAACCAATTTTCTTTAAACTAGATTATAGTTTGTTTTTTTTTTTTTTTTTTTATAATTCGATGTTTCTTGTGATCATTTAGAAATTAATAATAATTTTATCGAAAAAAAGTTTTGATTCTTTTTAGATAACTAAATTTATAAGTCAAAAAATTTTTTGTAAACATTTTTTTTAAATTATACAGTACATGCATTTTTATAAAGTGAAAATATCCAACGCTATAAAAATTATTTCGATTAAAATACATTCGATGGCAAATAATTTTCAATTTGATTAATATACGGTAGGTGTGATTCGTCAAAACCAATAAATAGCGCATGATTCCACGGATAATTATTTTATTTATTAATTAACAAATACGTGTCATTAATTTTTAATAATTGTACGTAGTAAAAAACAAAAATTTTTTTCTCATTAAATAATAAACTCAATTAAGCAAGTGAATCAAATGTGGTGATAGAATTACTTTTTTCTTTCTTTGTTTCAAGTAACAATCACAAACGCTAGGGTGATTTACGGTTTATGCTTATGTACAATTAATTAGTCTCTGTGGTACTTTTCGGTGATATAAATCCATCAGGAGTCGCTACTGTCGTAAATTTTCAAGAGATCCGAAAATATACCAAAGGCCGTGACAGCGGCACCCGCTCCGGCACCTTGAATAATCAAGGGATTAGGAAATCTTTGTGTAGTAAACGAGATGATGTTGTCACTTCCTTTGAGTGATGCGAACGGGTGAGATGACGGCAAACTGTGGTGTCATTGGTTAAGAAGAAAAGCTTTAAGTAATCAGAAAGATGTTGAATTTTGTAAATTCTCGCGGTACCTGACTAATTTAACGGATTTTTCATTATGGACGGGGTCGATAACCCCGATGTATCTTAAAACTTGGTCATTGCTTTTCGCGGTTTGATTCAAATTTTCAAAGTGATGATCAAATTCCGATAATCTTTCCATAAATTCGGTGGATGAAGGTAAGGCGCGTAACGACTCAGGAACTATGTTTTCAACCGGTAAGGAATCAAGATCCAAATCAAGCCCGGCGATTCTTCCAAGAATCACGACCTAGCGAGGAGCATTTCATTGAGGGGAAATAATAAGATCTTCTTAGCCTATGTGTAAATTGGTATTTAAGTGAATGTACTCACCTTACGGGCGACGTCCAATCCATTCAAATCATCACGTGGATCGGGTTCCTAAGGTGACGAAAACATCATCCGGGTTAAGGGGGTCCGAAAAAAAAGTCAACTGGTCATAAGTCTTAATTGTTTTTTCTAATTTACCGTGTAACCATTTTCCTGAGCAACTCTAACAATTTCCGAAAACTTTTTTTTCGCGCCGTCACTCAACGAGGAAAACTCATTAAAAATATAACTCAGGGTTCCCGAAAAGATTCCTTCAATCTTGACAATTTTATCGCCAGTCCTAATTAAATCGTTCAGCGTATTGATGACTGGCAATCCCGCACCAACTGTACTCTCGTGTAACAACCATCTTTTTTGTCTCGCCGCCTCCTCAAATATTTTCTTATAATAGTCAAAGTCACCGCTAAACGCCTTTTTATTAGGCGTCACAACGTGTAGCCTCTTTTTTAGAAATAGCGGATACTGTGAAGCGATTTCTTGACTTGATGTATTGTCAATAATGACTGCCGGCGTTGGACTTTTTGACAGGTAGTCGACAAAGGTTGAGAGGTCTGAGGGGGCCCCGTGAGTTTGTAAAGTGGTTTTCCAGTCGGAAAGGTCAAGTGGGGCATAGTCAGAGGTACTTAAAAGTTGTTTAGAAGAATTTTTGAGAGCAACGATTGAAAATTTGGGAGTCGCATTAGCTGAAATGTGAGCTGAAAGTTGGGAAATAAGTTCCGAACCGACAAGGCCTACACCAATAATTCCAACGTTGACCATAATGAAAAAAAAGCGATGAACATGGTCATGTGATTTTTTATGAATTTATTTATCATCAAGCCGTAATCACGTGATCATTGACAAGAAAAAAAATCACATTTTTTTAAAACCTGGATTCTTCCCAGAGTGTTCGACCAGAACATGCGCAAAACTTCTTCATATTTTCGAATGCACCAGCACTACGTGCAATTATTCCCGCGATCAAACCCGGTCCAGAATTACCGTCAATCTTACTTTGCTCATTATCTCCCTTACCGGCATCATCTTTTCCATGGGTGATGACCATCGACCTTCCAATAACATCCCATACCTTTATGCGACTACTCTCAACCACCAAATCTCCCCACCCGTTCTCATCTACAAAGATGTTACCCAAATCTCCGACGTGACCCTTCTCCAAGTCTCCGTGTTCTACATTTTCCGGATTATAATGACCTCCCGTGCTCGATGGTCCAGCCGAGATATCACCTAATTCTTGAATATGAATTCCATGATATCCTGGCGAAATTCCTTGTACTGTGACATCGATAAGACAATTGTTATCGTCAATTTGTACCATACGGGCAAGCCCCTGCGGTTTTACTTGCGGTGCCGGATCGTCTTTGTTTAGTGGAGTGTACGTGAAGCTTTCAAATATGCACACAGCAGCTCCACCGTGACTGCCTGCAATAAGAGAATGCATCAATTGAAGAAGGTTGCGGTCGTCGTCGTAAATCGAAGTTGGAAGGGAGATATACCTCTAATTACGCCTTGCCCACGAACGATCACAGTCATTCCAGTTTCTTTTAAACGCCTCGACACTAATGAGGGTGGTGCTGAATAAAAAAGAGAGTTAAACATTCCAAAAGTTACCCAAGTTTGCTAATAAAAAAAGAGTTCATAGTGAATTTCACAAACCTGTTCCTTCAATCACTACTCGTTGTTCCTGAAGATCAATTTCAAAATGATTAATTCCTGAAATCGATGAGTTATTAGGCACATAGCTTTCCTTCCTTTCCACGAGAAACTCTTACGAGATTACCTGGAACTTTTGTCAAAACGTTTCGGACGGATTCAACACAGGAATCACACGTCATTTTCACGGCATATTCTGTCTACAAGGATCGTCGGAAGTTAAGTTCACGGATGTCTGAGACCGGTTTTTTCCTAAGGGGTACTTTACGTACCTTGAAAGGTGTATTTGCAAGGCGTGTAGTAGCCATGGCAATAAATCATACAATGGACAACTATTCGGAAGTGCAAGGTATTTATATTTTTTTTTTTTTTGAAGGGTAAGGAAGTGTTGAATGAACCCCCGTGAACCGTGGGAACAGGGATCATCTCCTTAATTTGGTTAGTGTTAGTCATGTGCAAATCTTACTGATCAAGGATAATAATGACAATAATGTATATAAATAAATATTGCACAGTTACATAATGGAGTTTACTTTGCGTTTCCGCATACGAAAAAACAAGGAACTCAAATTTATCATCGATGTCGCAACCCGCATACAGAGATCGCATCTGTCTCCTTCCGAACCCGCAATTCAACTTTTTTGAGGGGAAGAAACGGGACATTAAAATCTATCTTTCTGGCGCGTTGGTACTTACGATCCATGCTCTGCTTGACAACACAAACCGAGTGACATATTTGTTATTAAACCTACTTGTTATTTCTTTGGGAATAAATAATCTTTAGTTTGCCGTAGGCTGGTGGTTTTTTATTGATGCCGCGGTTCTTTCTGGCACCAAGAAAGATCTACCCGAAGATTCACCGACAATAGGTTTCGTGGATTGGCTATGCGGAATATTTAGTACACTGGGAATGATAATGTAGGTTACTATTAACGGACCGAGGATGAAAACGCGCGGGCCTTCATTTTCATTTAATGAGATGCAATTATGTATGCACTGCTGGAATAGATGTCAAGAAGAAAAAAAAGAGTCATCATCGACGTCATGTTTTAACCTTATTCTTACAATCATCTACAGTGTGTGTTCTATCGATAAAGCTCGCCTGACAGCA